AACCCGAACTCTCAAGAGCCATCACGTGTTGCCTTACTCGGTGCCGGACGGACTCGACTACAACTTCAGCCACCTCGGTCACTGGTCCTGCAACAATCCCCCCCTTCACCACCGTTAACGGACTCAGCTATGGATGACAATTCTAGCCTTCCCGCGTTCATTCAGGAAACGCCTGGTACTCTTCCAGACTTTATCGAAGAAACGCCTTCGAATCTTTCGGTCGATCAATATCCAGAGCAGCGCGATATCATTTCAGAGACCAATTTCCCACCGCAGCTCCAAGCTATAAACCGAGAAACTACAGTATTCATGACTCCTCTGACAGCGAGTTCCACAGGATCCATTCTAAAGCGCAAACGATCCGACGCTTCAATGGCCTCAAACGAATCCTCGGATCTTTCACCCGTGCCGGAATCGCAGGCGAACAGATTTGCCGAAAGCCGCGCCGCAAATGCTACTGTCCGCATGTCGTCTGCAGAGACTACTCCCAAAGGAACGAAAAGACGCACTACCACCGCAAAACCTTCTCCTGTTCCCAGGCGCTCGTCCGCGCGAATTCGCGCTACTCAAAACAGTAGTTCAGGCCCAAACTCGCCACGCACACCCAAAACAACTCCAAGGGCAAAGAAGATCTGATTAAATGTTAGCAGGCCATGTGAATGTTTTTGACTTCACCGCCGACCAAGTTGTATAAAAGGCATAGCGGTAATCCCGTTCTGGTATAGATGTACCAGAAAAGTACAAATCCCCAAGGCCGAGTGATGCAAATGCGTGTATGATTGGTCCTGTTCTTGTTTTCATGCTACAAATGTCATCTCGGTGCAGGTGTCCCCGCGTTTGAGTTCGAGTGAGATGTTGGCGCAGTGGAACCGCCGAGAGGCTGATAGCCCGGATTCGAAGGGTATCCCGATACCGGCGGGAGATTGTACCCTGAACCCCCACCCATGCTCATTGGATAGTGTGGTGGTGGAGGCACACCATATGTAACGCCACTAGCTGCTGCAGCCGCTGCTGCTCCCACTCGCAGTGTGTTGACTTCACTGCGTAAGCCTTCAATATCACGCGTCATGTCTCCGTTTTGTCTCTTCAGAGTCGCAATGTAGTCGACAGCTAGCATGACAAAGCCGAGATTAGCATCGGTCAAGCGAAAACAGGCAAGAAGCCAACTTACCCCGCGTCAGTATCTCCCACTTGCTCGACTTCATACCCCTGTCCGCTGGAAGCTGATCCTTGAGCTCATCAAACAGATCCTTCATCTCCTTTCTCCGCTTCCTTTCCGCCAGTTTATGGGATACTCGCAGTTCAGGCGATCTTGAATATGGCGCGGAGCCACCATTTGCAATGCTTTCTCGAGTGTCGGGCGGCAACGAATCGAGGACGGGGTTCCCGCCATATCCGGTAGCTGATCCATTGCCCGATTCCGTGGATTCAGATTTCGAGGCCTGATGTTCGCGAATATAATCTGGTATGACTGTGGATGTCGACATTGCGGATGATGAGCTGGCACGCGAATCCTGGTACATTGGATTAGCGGAAGGAGGATATATTGGCGGTCCGGGATTTCCGGTCGGAGGAGGGACAGCATAGGGCGGATATCCAGATCCCGGGTTTTGGAGTGTCGGATCCATGCCGAACGATGGATACTGTGAAGGCACAGCATTCCCGGATTGCGGTTGCGAGCCTGCAACACAAATTTGTTTTAGTTTACCATCGGCCACATCTGTGTTGAGACAAACTTACCGCTTAACGAGCTAGCCATTGAGCGGTTAGAATAGGAAGATACAGCGGAATCCCTCCGATCATTCTGCTGAAATGCCTGATTCCACGGTTGGGGTGGAGTATTATGAGTGTAACCCGTGGAGCCTGAATGTTGATCCTGTTGTTGTAATCCTGTCAAACTGAGCTGTTTCATCTTTGCATCATACGTCGAGCCACGTCGTTTCGTTGGCGGGCCTAATTCCTCTGGTGGTACATTGCCCGGTGCAGGATTTCCAGGCGCGGCGAATGGATTACTAAACGTCGGTGGCGCGGGAGCCTGGAATAGGTGATTTGAAGCCGGTCCAGGTAATGGACCTCGATTTGGGATTCCACTCGGATCATTACCGGGATAGGAGTCTCCAAAATACCCCATGGCTGCCCTATCATGCGATTCTTTGCGCTTCCTGTTCATTGCCAGCCTAGCTGCTTCACTCTCCCCTTCAGCTCCTTGTCCTTGGTCATGGCTTCCTGTACCCAGACTCAACGGAGACGGTGCGGCGGGAAGTCGAGACGATAAGGGCCGAAGTGGCGGTACATTCTCTCCACCTTGAAAAACGGCGATCGAATGTCTGCGCATGGTGAAATCAAAATCTGCTGGATCACCAACTTGATCCCTCGCTTCTTCTGACTCTAAGTCCTTCCGTACTGCACCTTCTGTTTTGTTTACAGAGTGCTCTCGATTGCCTGTAGACGGAGTCGATACTGATCCTCTACGTTCGAATCCGGCTAGCGGAAGAGGTGCCAGCGTTCGAGAAACTTCGCCTGGTGGACCCATGCGAAATGGAGAGGACCGATTTACCGGATTGGCGCTATAGTTATCGTGGAAGGGCGTTCTTGTCGCCGGTATTGGACTAGGGTGCCGACTGCTGCCATTGGTATTCGAGGACACTTCTCTCGAGTCCATTTTCGGATTCTGACGATCAGGCGATTTTGAAGTCGCCATGGCTATTGACAGATGACTGGCGTGCGATAGATCCGAACTGCCTGAATCTGTTGAATGATACGAAGGTGGACGAGGAACCAAGAATGGCGAATGGGTTCTCGGCCAGGGACCCTGTGCGTTTTTCGCAGAGGTTGATTCTGAATCAAACGCTACTCCAAGGGATCCACGTTCTGGCGCAGCCGAGGGTGACCCTGTTCGAGGTAGAAGCGGCAAGCTGATTCCACTCGATGTACGCCTGAAAGACGATGGACTTTGCCTGGTCGGGCTGATACTACGCTTTTCCGCGATCCGTCCAGGTTCTCGGATCGGAGGCAGGTCGGTGGGATGACTAGGTCGTTGAATGGTCAGTGCAGGGAGAGTGAGTTGAGGCGAGCTTGACCGTCTGTCGTTAACGAAAGATTGCTGTTGATGGGTTGCTGGATGTCGGTACGGTGAGCCGTTGTTGCCAACTGTTGCCGACTGACGCTGAAAACCTTCGACCGGTGGTCTACAAGAATCGATGCAGGATGAGCCTTTGTCAACGGCGGTCCTGTGTTGTGAGAAGATGGACACAGCCACGGGACGGATGAAAGCATAGAAAGAAGGCAGCAGGAAACGATGAAGAATGCAAACATTCTACCAATCCGAGTTTTGATCGTTCACTGAGCGTGGCACGCACGATGAAGCCACGTGATATCAAACCCGCGCAACGGTTTCACCAGCGGTTGGCCTTGCCCTTTGCATTTGCCTTTACATTTCCTCTGACCGACCAACCAACAGGTATTGACACTCACCTTCCAAACGTAAAGTCGTACGGTCCCTCTCCTTGATTTGCAAAATATTGCTCCTGCATTATCGCATTCCGTCCACAGTTGGGATTTATTTGATTGGCCGATGTTATGGACTGTGGTGACTGGGTGAACACATGCAGTCTCGTTTGAGCGCTGAGTTTTCACAGCGCAAAAGGATCAAGTAGGTGACTGACTATCTTACTTTCGCAACGGTATAGTTCAAAGACTCGCGAATGATAGTGAATGATGCCAATATACCACGAGCTCGTTCCCACGTCTGATCTCGGGCCAGTGCCGCTCGCCCGATGACGATAACGTTCCCTCACTTTCTGCAGCTGTGTCTTTCCTGCCTGCGAACGGACATGTGCTGCATGCACTACTGGGTTGGGGTACTTCCGTGAAAGATGTAGATCACGAACGCGAGGGGCGGGATGAGCGGGCTCAAACCCAGGGAATCGAATTGAAGATGCCGGGGCGGGAACGCTGCCTCAATTAGCGTCCAAGCTGTCTGAACAGCACTCGAGCCGGTAGCTACTGGTGTTCCGCAGGCCCGACGATTGGATTAATTGCAGAGCACATAATCAGCTTTAGCGTGTCCCGGGTGTACGCTTCGTCTCGTTTCGGACCAGCCATTTTGGCCAGCTATTCGGCTACACCAAATACAGCATGAGAACAGCTATGAGAATATCTACTGAGCTACCTTCTGACGGACTGTAGTGAAGGCGCAAGGATTGCGCAAGGCGAAGAATTCGATGGCATCGACAGCATGAGCATAGGCGAGAGAAGAAGATACGATGTATATAAACCAAAGAGTCCGGCTTGTGGCATCTTTTGTACCCTGTTCAGCTCCCTGTTCTCCGTCCCCCATGAGGTAACGGTGTCTACCTCCGGGTTTCCTCCGCTGCTTTATCGGCGGCTCTGGGCGCCAGGCCTGCCAGCTGTTCTGCCACAGTTCTGCTTCTCCGATATTTCTTATGGCTCAACCACCTGCTCAAGGTTCTTGTCACTTGACTACCTCTTCACAATTACTACCGAGTTCCCATGCGCACAAAACAACACTCTCCTTCTATCAGAGCTCTTCTATGCATCCCTTCAGCTACCCCTTCCTCTGCTCTTTTGCCAGCACCAGTTTCTGGTAGCTTCTCTAGCCCCTAGCCAGCCTGCTTCCGACTAGTCTATTGAGGCTTTTGTCGCATTAAATATGAATGATCGAGAGACTGTAGCTCGACTGTCACCCCAAAAAGTAATAGCGTCGATCGTGGCAGAAACGTCGATCCTGTACCCGCTGACGCTGAAAAACCGAGGCAATCTCGACGATAAAGACAAAAAGAGTGATTGAGATGGGATTCGAACCCATGCCCCGGAGCGGACTAGCTGTCGAACCAAGAAATTAGACTGTATGCCTTCAGAGAGCGTATCAACTAGACGCATTTCTTGATATGCGAATGACTAGAAACCCGTGGCAAATTTTCCCCGCCCCTTATAAGATTGTGAAATTAGGTAAAAACTGTGAAATCATTGCATCAGCAGGTTGGATAGGAAAGTGGTCTAATCCGCCAGTTTAAGGTCGATTTATCGTTCTTAAATCACTGGTCCGTCCCGGGCGTGGGTTCGAATCCCACTCCAATCATTCTTTTGACATCTTGTCTACCAGTTACCAGCGGTTTCTTTTTGGTCACGGTACAGGGCAGAGGATAGGGAAGATCGACAACCTTACCCATTAAGACCGAAGCTAGTTTTTCGCGGGTGGGAGTCTATTTACATGCAGACTAGTCCCACTGCGTGAAGAGCGCGGCCTGGAGCCCCTGTAAACCTTTGCAGCGATCTCTGCGACCAGTGATTTAACGACGACGTAGGTCGACCTTAAACTGGCGGATTAGACCACTTTCCTACCCAACCTCTTGAGAAACCGGGACCTGGTCATACTATAGAAGGGTAGGGGATGGTATTTGATTCACCTAAGGACGCACTGCGTGAAACCAGCTGTGAAACCTCTCCGTTCGCGCTGTCTTGAAGAGTAGGATAGAGCCGGCGGCCGCGCCCCGGTTCCGGAGATGCTTAGTCAGCCTTGGTGGCTTCTCAGGCCCCAGGCTTCGCATATAGGAGAGCCCTGCAACAGTTATAGTTCTGTTAGTCTGTTTGTAGGGACAAGCCATTCACACCGTTGCACCGCGTTCTCTGTTCATCTACAGCTGATAAAACAGGGTTCCTACAGCTGTTCTACGTTGGACAATTAGCTGAGAACAATGAAAAGGTGCGGCCCGGTCACATATCTGGCGGATATCTTGTAAGAGCAGTACCGGCTGCTTGTAACAGTGATGGAACAAGCGAAGAGTGTAGCTATCGGTGTACTTCCACATTAGTTTGACCCGAAAGCTGCAGTGCGGTAATGGAGTTCACATTGTCCGTCACACTTGGCGCCAACTCTTTTTCAAACATTCAATGCTATCGAAGAGTGTACCAGCTTTAGCGTGCACATTTCATCTGTCGCGGACCAGTAGTTAGTAGTACGTAATATAGTCTGGGAACTGCCTGAACTGACACCCGAGCCACATACAAACGCCGAGGAAGGAGTGACGGCAGGCGCGATCCAGGCGGAATCCGAACCCGCGCCAGATGAGCTATACAGCGCCCTGTACGGTCCCACGAACCACCGACAACGGTACGGACATCACATACACCGAGGGAAAAGCCACCACCGACGGCACACTCATGCAGGACCCGTCACCGACCACTACCGACAGGGCGCATTCCCACGAGACAGACTGTATCCCAGCACCAACCACCAATGTACCTCGACTACGCATTTTACTCAACGGCGTCAAACATACAGCAAAGAAGCCAAAGCCGTACATTGCGTACAGCATTGATAAACACCAGTTGCCTCTGGAAGTCAGCATCCCCTCTACGTTAAGACAAAATGACATGATGAACTCGCACTCGCATTATGGAGCCAAAGATGGTGGAAAGGAAGGTCGCCTCACGTATCAAGTCAGGACGCGACATGGTTTGAAAGAAGTAAAGTGGGTTCGTGTAATGAGCCTACGTAGCGTTGTATCTAGATAGTATAAAAGATGATAATATACTAACTAAAACAGTACAAGGTCTGAAGTGGGATCAGTCAGAAAGGATTATTCTCACAACTACTGATGTCTATCGGGTAAACGGCTAACTCACAAGACAATATATAGAAAGCTAGTACGAGCTGATTCAAGGGGATTATCTAAAGTTGTAGTTAGTACAATCAAGAAGGCGCTTCTTGGAGAGTTAGGGAGGAAAAGCGTGTTTCATAAAATCATAGTGGCAAACTTACTACAAATTAGACTTCCTTATATAGACGTTTGAAAAGGGTGGCGAGGCCAACCCTGCGCAAGGGCTCCTAAGGAGACCTTGGCGTACAACCTAATCTTTGTCACTTTGTTCCGAAAATGGCACAAAGTGACAAAGTAACAAAAAGTAACAAAATGACAAAGTGACATAGGTTTCTATGTCACTTTGCTATTTTCAGCAAAAGTGACTAAGTAACAAAAGTACTAACCAATCTCTGAATCGAACCCTTTACTAATATCAAAACCAAATCCGCGATTGTTACAACATGGTGGCGAACTATAGAATAGCTGAGCAACATGGGGCAGTGAGCAAGAGGACCAAAAGGGTAAAATGTAAAGTACTTACAATACCCGCCGCACCGACTAAGCGGAGCCCTCTGACGCTTTGTACTCTGCATATGTCATTCCTGCCTTCCATTCATGCAACTTCTGTTTGTGGTGCAAGTAGTGCAGGGCGAGGGATTCGTCCCAAGGTAGTTTGTTCCACAAGGCCGAGTTGACGAAGGGTGTCAATCGGGTCAAGGCGGATCGAATGAAGGCAGTGTTGACGTGGTGAGGTTTCGCTCCATACCAATAGTTATTGATTTCTTTCAACGCATGGTGATAAGCTCGAAGTCGGATCTCGGACAATCGAGTGGGAGGGGAGACTCGAGGGCTGTTGCCGATCGAATATATAACAGTATAAGTCATGCGAGGCTTTCGGGTAGCCGAACCGGCCCGCTGTTGGGATTCTGCGCTTCCGCGCTTTCTTTTTCTCGTCTCGCCTGCCTACTCTCGCCGCGTCTACTTGCCTTTCCACAACTCGATAATCGTGCACAACAAATGCGCATAATATGCACATCTTGTGCACATCTTGTGCACATCTTGTGCACGTCTTGTGCACATCTTGTGCGCATATATGTGTGCACTTTGTGCTCATCCGGCTGTACAACTTAGTATTAGTGTCTTTATTGGTGGCGAACTACCTCGCCTTAGGCAAGATATAACTATATAAACCAGCCCTTTTGGCTGTGAGTTGTGACCTGTCTATAGTTTAATGACTTACGCAAATTAGATCAAGATTTTCTATCACTACCCTTACGATTACGACTTAGGATTAGCTACCCTTTCCAGTAAGAGTTAGCTAGAAGTCTTTGGCAGTCAGCAAGACAGGTGAGTATTAAATAACAACTGTGTAGAATCCGGACAGGTTCGTTGCTTGCCGCGAAGCTTCAAAATTACAAGTTCTGACTTATTTGTACTTGTGATTTTTGATCGTAAATATCAAAATTCTTTCAAGTCCGAATAAGCGCGTAAGAGCAAATCGCTGGTACCCAACAATTTGGGGCCCGGTCTGGGATATTAGGCAAGTCTATTTCTTCCTATACACCTTACCACCTAGACATATACTGTCTTGTCAAATCTATTTGCCGTCACCACTCTAAATCGCTGGACGCAGCGTCGGGTCAGAACCTTGACCCGTAACATTACTGACTACTACCTTATCACACAGGTCATATAGTCTCATTTATTCTATCAGAAGCTTCTTTACTTGTACATTCCTGTTCAAGTTCAACACCTCTTATACAAACACCTCACCTGCAGTAAAGGAGCGAGCCTCCTCGAATCACACTAGCGTAGCGTAGTTGATTCAGACCACGTTCGGTCAGTTGGTCAATCCAATCGCGGTACTCTAGAAAACCCGCACGTGGTACTCCAACAAAGGGTAGTATCGTTACTACTTACATCCATAGTATATGGATTCCAGAGATCAGATCACAGAGGCACCATCTACTTCAGCTAAATCAGTCACCTCGACTATCACTTATACCACCGTTCGAACAGTTGAAGTTAAATACATCACTGAAGTAGTCGACACCACATATGCCGATGGCTCTACGAAACAGGACAGGCATGACCGATCCGAGGTCCACGTCACCGTTGACAGAGATGACTTCACAGACGCACCGCAGGGAGAGATCTAACTCTCTACCCATCACGACCACCAGCAACATGGTCAACCCGTTCCTTGTTGAAACTGATGAACCAGATTATCCAGTCACCAGCAATGTCCCCAGGTCCATAAGTCCTATGAATGACTTAGGCCCACATAATCTACCACGTCTGTCAACACCTCCTATGCAAAGCCGAGACTTTGCCCTTCCCTCTGCTGATCCTCCTCCGACGTCCGTCCACGACGAAGCCAATCTTCTCGCTGAACGCTTGAAAGACATGGAAATCGAGATGTCTCATCTGAAGCAGGAGCGAGACGAAGCTCGCAACTCCGCACGCTTCTACAACCAAGAAGGCAGTCGCCTTCGCGACTATCGAGAAGGTACTCACGGTACCAGCAGTACCTTCACGAACGAACATCCTAGGAGCAAGATCAAGCCTTCTGATCTTCCCAAGTTCTACGGTAAAGACAATGAAGATGTGGATGAATGGATCGAGAAGGTCTCGGCCATCTTCACCTACTCTCGAGCGAGAGATATCGATCTCCTCCGAATCCTTCCTCTTCTCCTTCACGGCAATGCATCCGAGTGGTTTACTACACTTGGAGAAGAAGGCAGAGCTCGTCTTACCAGTTGGGATTCATGGAAAGCCGCCTTACGAAACGGTTTCTACCTTCCAGATCACGAGATGACAAAGCAGATGCTTTGCCGAAATCGAACTCTGAAACGTACTGAGACCTTCGGCGATTATTTCCAGTCCCGAAGAGCTTTACAACGCTATGTCTATCCGCCTGGAACTTCTGATAAAGTTCTTATCAAAGACATAATGGAGGGCATTCCTCAACACCTTCACCCTATTATCAGGGCCAACAGTATCGGAGTCCGAAACATCGAAGACTTCCGTCGCGTTCTGATAGATCTCGAACCCGGGATTCGAGACTCTCGGGCCTATTCTCCTCAAGTAGCCCGCAGTGCTATCACTCATCGAGGAGCCGTCAACAATATAAACGCGCCCCTCGCTCGAGGTAAAGAAAGCAAGAACTTCGTTAGAGACAAGGATTCTCGATCTCTTCCCAAGACTCCGTGCCGATGTGGTGAAATGCATTGGTATGCGGATTGTCCCCTCAAGAAGAAGGTTGCATCCGTCAACTACGCTGCGAAGAAGGAACCGTCAAGTTTCCCTAACAACGTCCCTCTCGGCAAGACAGTTCGATGGAAGTCCTGGGACAAGAAAAAGGAACAAGACAGTCAGAAGGATGTCAATGCGATACAAACACGCTCCAAGCGAAAACAAACAGCTAAACCCAGCGTAACAACTCCGGCTGTAGCACCTTCGGTAGAGCTCCATCTCACACCTCCTCGAGAAAGTA